AGTCACCTTCTGCAAAAGTTAAGCAGTGGCAGAGAAAATAGTTATAAATTCACTTTTCTACATATTAGCTTTTAATGACTTTAATCAGTAGTAAACAAAATGGATAACAATAACGTAAAGCCAATGCCAACAAAACACAAGGGTTAATTTTTGTGACGTTTTTGTTGTGAGTCCTACTTCCTTTTTCGATTCTTCAAGATGTTTGGAGAAACATGCTTCACGGTCATGATTTTCAGTTCAGTACTGAAATTCATAAGAATAACAATCATTTCTACCTACTGTGTCTGCTTGTTGCTTCACTGACTCTTTTACTTCCTCTGTTATGCACTTCAGGTGACATACCCATGCCAACAGAGCTGCCCAGCCCAGACAGCCATGAACAGAGGCAGACGGACAAACTAACAGACAAAACAAATAACAGGAGAAAAAGACCCAGAGGTAGATGACCAGCTGCTAACTAGAACCCACTCACTGCAGCGTTCTGTGAAAACTGTCCTGATCACTCCTTTGTCATTTAAAACTTCCATTAAGAATTTGTAGCTGCAACATTATGCAAACCCGAACTAATGTATCAGTTTTACTTGCTTATATAGCAGGTTTACATGTTCTATTTATATTTATTCTATTTTCCTCTCCAGCTCCCCGGTCGCAACGGTGCTCTGATGAGAACACACCATCTAGGCCGAAAAGGCAAAGAGCTGCAGGTGATCTATCCAGACTTGTTTGTGTGGTTTAATGTTTAATGTTTAAACCATTTATGACATTGCACCTTAACCATGAGCCCAGCTCATAGCTAATGTTTTATTATTGTGCTGTAAAAATGATAACTTTTATAGTCAGTCATATTATTCCAGAACAAAGTTTAGGTGCATATTATTACCAAATCTTCAAATCGACTTTGGAATAGCTAGTTTTTAATAGATGTCAAGTTTGGAATAGGTGTACAGAGAATTTGAATGATAGACACATTTACTACGATATGATTTGCAGTTAATGAGAGCCCAGTGTTGGTGTTATATTACATTACTGTTGGGTTACTGGATCAAAATAGCCCTTCTGTTGGTGGTTTTCTACCCATTGGAACTGAATAAAATCAACCCAGTATTGCATCAATACTATATTGACCCCCCTTGGGATCAGGTTTTACCCAGTGTTTTTAGTTTACATGTTGTAATGTTAGTTCTTCAACTCTTGCAGGTCGACCAAAAACCAAAGAGGCACAGGTTGAGACAACTGTCAACCAAGGTAAGTTACAAATGTTGCTGCTGTAAATGGATTATTTGGGGCATACATACACACTGCAGGTTTTTAAAACATTTAAAGAGTGCCTGTTGATCTACAGTAATTCAAGCTACTGCCGTAAAAGGTATCGTAAGAAAAGAACAAGAAAGGTTGTATCAGTATTGTTGCAAATTGAGCAAAACTGTAATTAAATCATGTATTAATCAATGACATCACAGATTAATAAAATGCCATTTTAGGGACGATGTGAGGCTGCTGTGGTAGTAAGTGTAGACTCATGAGTTAAAGGGATGTTGGCTGGCTATGCTTGACTTGGTTCCTTCGTGGCATTGGAGTACAGGTCGAGAAACGGGAAGTTTAATTTTGAAGTCATCAGATGAGAGGTCACATTGATGAACTAAAAGAAGAACTCTCACCTCACCAGACTTCCTCAGTTTGGTGCTTTTTAGATCAGTATGACAATATACTCTTGAGGTGTTGATAGTTGATAGTACACAAGCCTAGTGCAATAAGTCTTATACTGTTGACCACTGAGATATATAGCCTTCATGTCTACAAATGGGAAAGTCTCACACACTAAATTCCTTGGTATGTCCTTGGAAAGTAAACTATCAGCATCCTTTCTTTTCTCAACCCCCCTTTTTGATAAGCTCAAGGTTAAGAAAACCTGTGGGCAGAGAATGATAAGGATGTTGTCACTGCTTGATTTGCAGGCACTGACACAGGATCACAGCCAGCAGAGATGGCAGGCCTCTCCACCACTCAACCAAGAATCCTTCATTTCCCTCCCTCCATTCAGTTTATCACCATCCCAGACAATTCAGCATACCAGGTTGTTCAGACACTGGGGTTCTCTTCTCCGGTTATTAGTTTTCCCAACACAGCTGCTACACCTACTTACATATTTGGTGAGTAAGTACACACACTGAGTTACTGTTTTTTATAAGTATACCTGTTTAATCTAGTGCAGTCCAATGTAATAACCCCACCAAACATCCTGTTTGTGAAGGTCTTCAGTTTCATGTAACTGCCCTGAAAACTAGCACATCAAATCTTCTTTGAATGTTAAATGCTCAGAAAAAAAGGTCCACCAGAAGTCTTTCATATTCATCTATATATTTCATCTGACAAAATCTCCTAGTCGTAGTCCCATTTAATCTCCAGCCTGAGACCAGACAAATCTGCAAGCTCATATTTCATTTGATGTGGCAGATGCATCTAATAACCCTTTCATTCAGAAAGAAAACCCCTGTCCTGCATCTGCTTAGGCCAATCACAACCATTTACCTAATATGGAGTGGGTTTGATACAGTGGCTGACAGAGAAGCGTCAACGGTCCAGATTTGTTTCACTGCTCTGACTGGTTGTAGGTCTATTCAGTCTGAAGGTCCGTCCAGCCCAATGCACTTGGCTCACAAAACTCAGACCCAAAACTCAGACCCAAACTTGTTCATTAGGCAGTGTTGATCAAAATTGAATCAAGATTCTGTGACTGCATTGCCTATTTGCTGCCTCAGTTGTTTTCAGAAACATATTTTAGTGTACTGTTGTAGCTGTAATTTGAGAAAGTTTGAGACTAGGCAATTTTTTTCTTCCTTCAAAACAGACCAAGCACTGCCCCAACTTGCATGTGTCGCTCAGCACTACTTCACACATTTCATTGCTCTGATTGGTTAAAGGTCTAATCAGTTGCATTCAGAGGCGCTTTGGTCTGCGCCTGTTGATAACGCACCTAAAATTACTGAGAGGTTTCAGACTGACCTAACATGCATTTGCAAATTAGTCTGCTGATGCCAGGCTAATTGAATCCTTTGCCTTTGACTCAATATAGTACTACTTTGCCTCTGTTTGGAATTATGTTTATGGTGGCATATCAACATAACATGTGGAGTATCCCAGGGCTCTTTTGTTTTTGTTGTTTAGCCCCCATACCTTCCCCCGCGAGATTTGAATTCTGACTTTGACGATGAGATTTATTGTAATTCTACATCCTGAACTTACCCTATGTCTGTATTTTCATTTTCAAAGATTCTCTTTTATTTCTCTCCATTTAAATTGTGTTTCATTGTCTTAAATGTATTTTCTATTAACTTGTCTTGCTCCACATGTATGTCTGTTTATTGCACATATAATATCAACAGTATGTACTCCTATTTCTAATGTAGTTCCTGCTGCCTCACCACCTTGCAAACGCCAAGTGCCACCCCTCTCCCCAGGTGAATAAAAAACCCTTTAATCTGAGATGTGCATGTATGTGTGTGTGTGTGTGTGTGTGTGTGTGTGTGTGTGCCAACTATACATCCTGCACCCATATGCAGAGATCTTACTACTGGCAGTGTTATGTAGGTTATGATTCCACATTTACTGTTCTGTTCTGCATTTTAAGCAACAGCATGGCAGCCACTTTCTACCAGCTGCTGTTTATGTGAATGCAGGCTCTTCATTTTTATTTTCTTCTCTTTGTGTGTATAGTGGATAGTGCAGTAGCACCAGTCAGAATGAGTTCATCCCCACCAGGATCTTTGTCAGACACTGCTAGCAAAGCCATGTCTCCCCCTTGTGTCTCACCCCTCTCCCCCAACCATGGTGAGTATCAGTATACGTCTCATTTGTGTCTCCTTGTGCATAAATTACCCTGCAGAGTTGTTGCCATGTTACAAATATCATGAAATGTTGCATTTCAGAGCTGTCCACATGTAAGGAAACACCTGTTCCTCAGTCTCCTACTGTTCTTGATATCCCACGTAAGTTATCAAATGCTTTTACTCCTCTCTTCTGTTTTTTAAAGTATCCTAAAAGTACAAATCATGCTTTGTGGAGAAGCAGTGTGGTAAATGTGTTTGTTTTTCAGCGGTTGTAAAGGACTACATTCAGGAATACAAAGCCCACATGAGTCAAACCTGCCAGGATATGGAGGCAGGCCTTACCCTCACCTCTCATTACGTGGATGTACAAGTGAGCCAGAGAGAGATCTTTCGCTCTGGAAAAAACACAAACAGAATGTTGGATAAGGAGCTAGTCATCATGGGACATACAGATCGGCAAAAAAGCTTGTTGGGGCAGAGTCAGGTATTAGTTTCATTTTTGTTGGGTAACAATAGTTGGTGTCATAGTTGAGCACAGCTAATTTCAATACTACTCAGCTGCCAGTTCCTCTAACGCTTTGTAACTTTCATCAAAATGTAGGCCAAATTTAGCAGAAATATTCAGATGCTTCAAGCTGGCAGGAATTTTGAAGTCCATCACTTTTTTCTCAAAAACTGTAAAAGTAATTAAACCTACCACATTGTCAGTCTCCTCCCACTTTTTTAGCTCAACGGACACCAAACTGGCTAAACTACATCTTCAGTCTTCCACAAACGACCCAGCCAGATTGTGTGTTAATGATACAAATACAAAGTTTCTTTAAACATCAGGTTGTCACCTGCAATCAATCTTGTCTATGTTGTCTAGATGAAGAACAAAAATTCTTTTGTTTTAATGATAATTTTGGTTCCTCTTCTTCCTCCTTCTTCATCTTCCTCAAAATGCCTGGCCCCGATTCACTGCACTGCTTTAGTTTGATTTGTTTATATGGCTATACTGGCTGCAACTCATCTGTATGTTTGTCTTTTTCCACTCAGATCTTCAAAGGCTCAGATGGAGACAAACCCAAACGCTACATATTGCTACTTGGCAATGCTGGCATGGGAAAAACCACACTGATCAGGAAGCTGTGTCTTGACTGGTCCAAAGACTGCATCCCACAGTTTGACTTTGTCTTCCTATTAGACGGCAAAGCACTGACTTTAACAGAGCCGACCTTTAACCTTCAGACCCTCCTATTAAACCTCTCCTCCTTTTCCCCTCCCTGCATGGACCCAGAGGCAGTGTACGCTCAAATCCTTGCTGCTCCTAAGCGTGTGCTCATCATTTTTGATGGGTTTGACGAGTTGCGCGACTATGAAACTCTACTCCAGGCTCAAGAAAAAGACGTGATAACGTCATTGCAGAGAGACAGTAAAGCACAGACATATACAGTTAGACAGTTATACTCTGCCATTCTTCAGAGAGTTCTCCTTCCAGGTTGCACACTTCTGCTCTCTACCCGACCAAGAGGCACTGCCAGCCAGCTACTAAGGCGGACAGACAGCTTTTTGGAGATGTGTGGCTTCACCCCCACAGACATAGAGACATATCTGTCCCAGTACTTCACTGATCCCGACCTCAGAGCATCTGCTTTGGACAGATTAAAAAACAGCAACTACATACATCTCCTCTGCTGGAACCCTGGACTATGTCGGTTGGTTTGCTTGGTCTTAGAGCAGTCCAAAGGTTTGGGGGTCCTTCCACGAACTTTAACTGAGCTCTGCCATCAAGTGGTTCGTCTGAAAATGGAAGAGGACAGTAAGACCGCACACTCACAGGCTGAACCTGAAACGCAAATATCTGTGGAATCTGTAGAAGAAACTCAGACACAAATCTCAAGTAGTTGTCAAGGGAAGAGGTGTCACCAAAATGCTTGGACAAAGTCCAGAGCGCAAGTTCGCACTCGCACTCAAAGAGGAAGGAGGACAAAAAAGAAGGAGAAAGAGGAAGATAAAGTGGACGGAGATGAGATGCATGTGTGTGGAGGGGAAGTAGATAGAACAAAGGAGAGAGAGTTGCTGTCCCAGCTGAGTTCTTTGGCCTGGGAGGGGGTCAAAGCAAACTCCTCCATCGTTCCCACTGGACGGACCATATCTCCCAAGCTCAAGGCATTTGGCCACAGGACAGGACTCTTCTTCTCTTACCAACTAAGGACAAAGCAGGTCGTCTCAAGTGGTGAGAAGAAGGGAGGAGGAGAGAAAGGAGAAAGTGGAAACAAAGGGAGTATGGACATTGAAAACGCTGATGACTACATCTTGTTGTGGACAAATCCTTTCCTTCAGAGTTACCTGGCAGGGGTCCATTTGTCTCTATCAAGGTAAAAGTCTATGGTTTCATCAAAGTGAACTGAAGTCCTTGAAAGTGAATAAATTCAGATAAGCATAAGCAAGCAGAATAAGTGTATCGCTTTCCATTCCTAGACTCTTTTCTCCTTCACCTTCAGTGCCCTACCCTCTCTGAATTTCCCTAACTCTTTTTCACTTTCTGTTTGCCCAGGACTGTATCAGACCGTACCTTCCTCCAGACCCTTCCTTTCCAGTCAGGCTCAAAGGCACGTCGGCGCCCTCAAAGGGAGGAGCTTGAACTCACTCAACGATTTGCAGTCGGGCTTCTGTTCTACAACAGGACAGAGCTGCAAAGGCTTCACTCGTACACAGAGACTGCCTTTAGAGATATGGTGGTCAGCAAGCAGGCTTTAGTAACAAAACACCTTGAAGGTCTTTCTCATGGTGACCTGAGCCCCGCTCAGATCCTGGAGGCGTGTCACTATGTTTATGAGGCAAGTTCCATGCATGGTGATGGTAGCAGAGACAGTGGCAGCACAAGATTAGTTGCTCACCTGGCAGCAAATCTTCCAGAGGTCCTGACATTTCATGGAGTCCCACTCAACCCAGCGGACGTGTTTGCTGTGCAGAAAGTTCTCGAAAGGGGTGGAACCAAAGGTAGAACTTTTTGTCTGGATCTGGAGGATTCTGGGATACAGATCTCTGGACTCAGAGCTCTGGTGGGGCTCAGCAACATCAGCACATACAGGTACAGGTTACAATCCACATCTCAAAAAGCTGCTTGGTATCAGTTGAGTTTGTTTATCACCTACTCCAAACAGCTATTGGCCAATCATAGCTTAGCAACCTTCATAAGGTTTAGCAGTTCTGTCAGTTCTGGATTTCGCCACGTTCCAAAGTAGCAGTATGCATGGGGCCATATCAAGAGTACAGTGTGGTGGTGTGTTTTTGTAACCTCTCCAAAACAGTGTATTTAATTGATTAAATGGTGTTTATCTGCTTTAATGAAATTGGTTTGATGTCTTTCCAAACTGGCTTACAGTAGTAAACGCATTACTTTCAAGGCCAAGGGACATATAATTGACTAACTACAACTATTTTAGGAGAAATATATAAAAAAAAGACCCATTTGTGACCAGCACATCTACTATTTGGTATTCCCCCCACTGTGTATGATCCAATATTGGATACTATCAGAGTCTAGGCTAATGTGAGGAGCTCTTTTTATCTGATTTGGGGATGTTTATACTTAAGCAACCCGAGCCAACATTACCAAAGATGTTGGTGTTAGTACTCATATTAAAAACCTCTACTCTCACAACATTCAAAATGAAAACTTTCGAGTGTGTTAGCAGGGGTAATATAAAATAAGAGCCTGGTCTTATCTTTTTCCTTCATCATACTTACAATACTAGGCCTAACTACCTCACTGCCAGCTAGTAATGAGGAGCCTACTTTTGTTTGCCTCTGTCTGAATTTAAGGGCCACCATTATAATAGTAACGTGTACCAGGCGAAAAAAGGAAAGCTTAACAGAATATAAGTTGCCCTGATTTGCTCAAAGAGAGCTCTCCATTTTTTGGCAATTTATTCCTTCATCATTGTCCGATGATTTTCCATTTATATGTGACAACCCTTGGGTGTCTTCTAGGGCATGCATTGCTGATGCCATCTCCTTATGGGAGCAGCTGGAGCAGAGTGGTGAGGAAGGGCTCCAACAAGGGGCCGTGTCCAAATTCAAGATCCACCCCCTGAAAGCCACACAACTGTGTCACATAGAGCACCTGGCCAAGCTGGTGAACATACATATGCACAAGAGGCTGTCGGACAGGTAATCCCCCCCACCACACACACACGCACACATACATACATACACACGGATATACGGTCATATTGCAGCATACAAACCATATGTGCCTGGCCACTGATGTGTGTGATTTTACTTGTAGCTCCAGTCAATCTGATTCAATCTTGGCAGAGGGAGTACCAGCTGTTAAAGAGCTACACAAGCTGGAGTTTGAGTGAGTAGCTCTGACATTTGGCACTTTATCAATTTATGATAAGGGTGATGATCAAGATGATCACGATGACCACAATGTTGACTCTAATGACATTGTCTTCCCCTCTAGGCTTGGTCCAGAGAATGGTCCCCTGGCTCTTCCCAAGCTGTGGGAGCTCCTGCCAGGTCTACATAACCTGCAGCACTTAGAGTAAATATACACACCCTTACCTCTCATTCTCTCTAATTGCATCAATCTCTCTGTGTTTATACTATGTTTCTAGTGTCTGATGGTAGTTATCTGTCTCTCTCCTCCTTCAGTCTTGAGAACAGTAAGATAGGGGACAAAGGAGCTGAGAAATTGGCTGATGCTTTAGTCTCACTCTGTTTCTTGGAGGTACTCAAGTAAGTACAACATGGTTACCTTTCTCAACCTAATTTCTTCCCAGGCCTGGGTGATATTTTAATTCACAATACAAAAAAAATCTAAGATCTTAATGTGCAGTATGGGTGTTGAACTAAGTGTTTGCTCTCTCCTTCTGGTTTCTAGTCTGTCACAGAATTGTATAGGAGACCAGGGGGTGAAGAAACTGGCAGCCACACTGAGGGAGCTGCCCAAACTGCACTGTTTAAGGTATATAATGCACACATACACACACACACACACACATATATATAGATATATATATATAAACACACAACAACACCCAAAAATGGCACATACTGTAAACCCACATATTTTCACTTCCCTTTTCCTCCCTTTGTTTTTTCCAGTCTTTACAGTAATGTGATTTCTGATGAAGGGGCAGAGAGTTTAGCAGCTGTCCTGCCACACATGGCTTCCCTCGCCAACCTGGAGTAAGACTATATCTATATATACTATATAGCTGTTGTTTTTTCCATTAGACATTTCTCTGTATTTATGTGTATGTGTTCTGTGATAACTTGTCCTCACATCTAACCCTGTATGCATCACAGCAAGTAATATCTAGTAGAAACAGAGAGTAACTATAGTTCCTCTTGGTTTATTTTAAAATGTATTGTGATACTATGGTATTTTGTATATTATTTTGTGTCTGGCTTTAATGTAAAATGATTGCATGTCACTATTGGTAGATACTATAGTACAGAATGAAGACACATCTAAAGTGTGAACTGTTGCGGTTCTCTTTGACAGTGTGAAGTATAACAAGCTAACAGATGTCGGAGCACAAAGCCTAGGAGTCAGTCTGAGGAACTGTAAAAAAATGAAGACTCTGAGGTGAGAAAACCTTTTTTGTATCTGTGTGTGGGTATATGTGCGCGTGACATCGTCTTACCATGTTCCCTTTTTTAGGCAAGGCGTTTAGTTGCCCCACAACCAAAGTTATTTTTATCAGCTTAAGCTAAAGCAAAACTAGGTGTGAAAGAACCTTTTAGTTGACTGAAATAAAAATAAAAACTAGACTTGTTATTAATATTGTTTACTTATAAAACTAACTAAAATAAAATACAAAATATCTTTAGTTTTAGTCTTTGTCAATCTGGTTAAATTTGTCAACACAACAAGCAAGAGGAGGCTACCTGACTGAGTCAAGGGTTGTGTTACCTATTCTGAACATTTTAAATCTTGCCTCTAGCAAACACCCCCCATATTATATGAATATGAAACGAAACATATTTAAGCAATAAAAACTAAACTGAAAGGGGCAAACCCACTCTGGAAACTAATTAACTAAAATGAGTTGAAAACTAAATTTAAAAACCAAATAAAAATAGAAACTAATGAAGACTAAATGACCTAATATGCTTCTTTTTTCATCTCTTTTCATCACAGGATGTGGAACCAGTGTATTCCATACGGAGTGTTTGAGAGACTTCAGCAGCAGGACAACCGGATCCTTTGCCATTAGAATAATAGAAACTTCTTAACTACTAAGTCACAAGTTTTTTATCATGCATGTCGTGCATACATGTTTACACTACACCATACATTTTCTAAAGCATGTATTTTTGAGGAACAGTAACCAAAGAGTGAGTGAGTGAGTGAGTGAGTGAGAGTGCACACAAATAAAACACACTGGAAACATTTTTGCTGCTTTATTCATCACTTCACCTTACCAGAGATTCCAGTCAGTTCAGGGAAATAATTAACCCTTCAGCACCACACAGTACTGGATCTGTGTATGGGTGTGTTAAAGTTGGTTCAAATTCAAGAAGCACATTTGCACTATGGTATTTTTGATAATGGCTAGTTTGTATGTTGTGCCATTGTAATTATTTTTTCTAATGTGTTTTGTTGTATGCTCTCCTTCTGTGGCTGTACATTATAGATTGCTTAACAATTACCTGGCACTTTAATGTAAATAAAAGGCTTCATGTTGTCATCAGCTACATATTTGTTTCTCTCTTCTTTGTCATTTCACAATGTGTTTACTGAATTCAATGGTTTATTAACAACTTCATTTTACTTCCTTCCCAACAGGTTTCTGTTCTCTTTTTTTGATCCAAAGCCGACCTTTAACAATGTCATGCTGTAACTCTGGAGCGTTTTACTTACTTTAAGCCATTACTCACTGTGTAGAGTGAGGACAGTGTTTTGGGGGTTTTACTAAAAGTCAAGCTTGAACATCGGAAAATCACCAACAGACCTCCAAACCACCACCCACATCTTCCATTTGTTTATTTTAAGTGAATGAATGAAACAAAATGGTAATTCAGTCTGATTGTCAGACTAATCTGAGACATTTGCTTTCAAAATTATGCGGCTCTTCAACAATTTCATTTCATAATTGCGTTCTGTGAAGTACGTAATAGATGTACTTCACTTGTTTATATGAAAGTGATGGAATTAAAATGACAGCACTAATTTAATAAATAAAACAATATTGTTTGGTTAATTTGTAAAAAAGACCAAGCAGTATTTGAATCTCTATAAATAAAAGGGAAACTATATGATTCAAATGATTTTTTCCCCCCGTGTTTTACTGTATGTGAAATAGTATCATGCCATGGTAACATCTTGGCATACTGGCGGCATCACAACAATCTCAAATATCACTGGTTTCACAGATTTGAACCCTCAGTCCGAAACAGCAGGCTGCTCTGTGTACGGTAGTGTCAGCTGTCAATCACAGACATTTTCCTGAGTATATTCCTGGAAAATGCTGCAGATTCTAAATCAATCTGAAGCCCAGTAGGCCACTGTCTGACCTGCTCAGGATCTTCTATATCAAGCACCAGTTGCATCAGAGCGTTCCAACCATCTGCTGTCGTTGTCTTTTTGTCCGATGATGCTCTCTTGTGGACAAAATGTAAAGTGACACCAAAAGAGCACGTGGCAACAAGTAAACAAAGTCCACTTTAAAAGAACAACTTTCCTGATGGCCCCCATTCATCCACAAACGTATAAATGACAGCTGAAGTAAGTGACAGAACACTGGCATTCGCTCAAAGTTTATTAAATACACATTGGAAAATAAAACTCTGTTACCATCCATAGCTTATTATAGCATGTGCACGTCTGCAAAGAAGTACATGTGGAGGGATGACACAAGCGCTGGGTAAAGGCTGTATGCTGATGACGACGTCCCAGTCCCCCCACAGGTTTCCACTAAACTAAGATGCCGTGAGGAGAGTTGATCAGAACCTGACCAGCACAGTGTGGTATCATGCCGGGGAAATGGCACAAAGTTTTAAACCTGCAGCTAACACCGGTGATTTATTAAAACAGTTTCTGTACAAAACAAAAGGACCCATCCTATCAGACTGCTTTATTTGCCGCTCATATTTAGAATATGGGGATATACGAGTTACCCAACTTGTCATACTGACATTGAGTTCAGTTAAAAATCAGATACCAGCCTGTTAATGTCGTCTACCTCCAGCATGATGTAGTTCAATTACATACTATCTTGAATATTTATTAACTGTTCATCTACAGTAAACCCTTACCATGTATTGATTATGACTTTCTGATCAAATTCAACACAAATATATTTTACTATATTCCATTAATATAGATGCATCCTGAGCTTTAGTTTCACGTGATCTCAACGCTGTTTCAGGTAGAGTTTTATACAGCCAAAAACAGATTGTTTTTTTCTTTAATGGACACGTTGATTAATGCAAACAATCAAATCAAAAATGTTCTCACAAACCATTGCTCGCTCCACAGCCGTAATCCAAAAAAAGAAGAAAGAATTTAAACTGGTTGGCGTCTGGTGTGACTGTGGACAATCATCCGGCTATATTAAATCTACCATTTGAGCTGAGTAGGCAAAGTGTTGGTGAAACATCATCTGGGTGAAAGGGTGTCTAGCAGACTGTAATGCTCAGTCAGCCAACGAAACTCTAGACGAAAGCTCGTTTGGAGTATGAAACGTGCATGTGCAAATATTTTGAAATGGTTTTTGTTTCTACAGCTTCGTTTATTTGGTGGACAACAACCACAGTGCGGTGATTATTATGCACAATCTGCTTATTCTCGCAGCAGTACCGGGCTGTACGCTTCGAGAAAACATTGGTTCCTCTTGTATTGCTTCCAAAATTAACGTTTAGTTAATTAGCTCGTCACAGACCTACAGTATTTACAGTACTTTCAAGGCTTACAGATATCTCGTTAAGCAAGTGAACGCTCCCTTTACGAACATCACTGACACAAGGTGGTTTTCTTCCACTCATCCACAACCAAACCTGAAGGATGGATGGAATAATTGCCTAATTCTGTGTATGATCTCATTCGTATATCCACTGAAGGGCCCCCATTGCTTGAATCCAGTTTATTATTGCTGCCAAGATTAAACATCTTATGAACTGAATTCTAAATTCATAAAAACGTCAACAGAAGAAAGTGCTATAAAACAATTTCCTTTAAAAGAAAAAACAACCAATATCATGCGTTGAGTTTTTTCTCTGCTTCTAACGCACATTTGTAACATTATAAAAACAAAAACGGATGCAACAAATAAAGGATGAAAAGGTCAAATATCTGAAGCACTTCTTCTGAGGCTCCAGCCTTTGACACAACTCATACTGATGAACATTTGGCCAGCTGTGATCACTGCGGTCATTGCTAATCTATTACTGTTAACTTTAAGTGGAAAAATCTAATTTGTTTATGATCCGAATTACTAAAGTCATATAGATTATCAGAAGACATACTGTATCAAAGAAATAACGCTCCCTCGATACTTGAATACTTTCTCCTTTACAGTGAAGAGTGTGGCAAGTGAGATGTGGTGCTCCTGATTTATAAGAAAGCTTGAAGACGTTAGGGCTCTCCTTTATCCTACAAATTCACAGCCTGCGTCCACAGTGTCAGTGTTATGTCTTGCCAGTGCGCGAGTTCCTAACTGTGCTCCTGAGAGTGAGTGCATCCCTGAAGCAGACAATACGGTATGGGCGACCTCAAAAGACATTTTAAATTACGCCTCGAGGATGAGCGAGCCTGCAAACGCGCAATGCATTCTGCAAACGTAAAAGGACAGCTGAAACAAGTTGTTCTGTGAGTGAGTGATTACGTATGCAACAGACCTACAGCGGACATTGTTTCCCCGCACTTTGCCGGTTCTTCTGAGATGTCACATTGTGTAGGCCATCACACTGTGACAAGATTCAGTTCACGTCCTTCAGCAGTCAGCTACCGGATCTTGCACAGCCACGGTAGTTCAGTTTAAAGTGTATCTGAACTGGCTGCATTGCAGACAACCTGAATTCACGCTGCACATCTCTGGTAACGTTCATTTTTCATCCACAGGGAACGGCTGTCTCTTTCCCGAGCAGCACACTGTGCTTGTATTTTATCTTTCCTTGTGTCCACAGCGAGAGGCACAGATCCCGGTACCAGTTTTATGAATGGCAACAGACTGGCTGACAGCTGATCCAGTGCAGAGCGTTTCCTCCCGGCGGCGCTGAATCTCTTTCTCGGGCTACCTCCTTTTGAGTCGAGACAACCTAGAGACATGACACACAAGATCATCACCCAAATACTTTCACAGATTATGTTGCGACATAACATAACAAATGGTGCGCTTTGGGGATAAAAATCCCCCAAAAATGTTTTGCTCCATCAAAACACTGGTAACCACTGGTTCTAATAGTACATACAAGTGGATTCTTAGTATCCTATTCTAAGCTTGAAATAGGAACAACACCTAAAATGCTCAATGTCTTGTGTGCTCTGCTTACTTTTTCACTGATATGTCTGTGTGAGGAAAAGGCAGCATCCACTTTTTTCCCCACATCACTGAGCAGGGAGTGTTCAGGCTGGCCCAATCCGCCCCACACCTCTGCATCACCACC